GTGAGAATATGTGGCCTCCTACTACCTGTAGGAGAGTCTGGAGATGGCCCTGAAGAAGGAATTCAGCAGCCCTTAGTAAACATCAGCTGAGCCTCCGGAAGGAAGAGGGTGTGAGAAAGAAACTCAAGATTGCTCTGTATTGATTCACTTGGGTATCAGAGATGAAGTCGGTCAAGGGAGAGGGAATCTCTGCCAGGCTTTCAATATTCTGTGGTTCTATCCCCAAATGGGGTCTTTGGAGTGTCTGTTTCCCAACCTGTTCCATCCCGAAGCGCTGACGTCACCTCTGGCAGATGGTGGAACATCTGGCTTGTCCAAAAGAGTCACTCTGGGTGTCAATGCACCTAATTCAGCTCTCTTGCACTGAATCAACAGGGGCTTTTTGGGGACAGGTTGACCCTCTATGGGTCTCCAACTACTAGCCCATCTCTGCGAGCTCTGCCACCGTTACAGGGAGTCCTCGCCTTACAACAGTTCATTCAGTGACAGTTCAGAGTTACGACGCCACTGAAAAAAAAATGACGTAGGGCCACTTACGACCCTTACAGCATCCCCCCCCCCTTGATCAGGCGATCGAAAATTCGGCTCCTTGGCAAATTCGGTTCCTATTTATGATGGTCGCAGTATCCCGGGGCTCGCGTGATCCGCTTTTGCGGCTTTCTGACAAGCGACGTCAGCGGGGAAGCCAGATTCCCTCAACAACTGGGGTTACTAACTTAACAACTGCAACAATTCGCTTAGCCGCCGTGGCAAGAAAACGGGGCAAAACTCACTTCACAGCATCAATTTTGGAGCTCGGTTGTGGCCATAAGTCGAGGACTACTGTATTTTCAAAATTCTCTCTCTCTTTCTCTCTCTTTCTCTCACACACACCCTTTCCCAGGTCTGTTTGATGCAGCTGGGCTGGGTGTTAATTTCCCACTGCCTTTATTACCTCCTTCCACCCTCTCCCGCCGCCATCCACCGAGGTGTATCTGAGGACAGATGTGGGACTAGGTTGCTCCTTCTTTCTGGGGCAGCTAAGGCCAAGAAAACGCGATGACGAAACTTTGACCTGGATTCCCCTCTAAGCCACTATTACACAAGCCGGTATGTGTGTGCGTGCGTGTTTGTGCGAGCATCTGTGTGTGCATCTCCTGAACCTAGATGTACAGTACTTAGGCGTGTTCAGGGTGTGTCCATTCTCTCGGGATATAGGCGGGCGTGTGGGTTTTTTTTCTTTTCTTTCTTTCTTTTTTTCCCCCCCTAACAGGTGTACGTGTTTTTGTTCTGCTTCTTATCGGGGCATCGCATTGTTGTGGGTGAAAAAGAACAATGCCAAGTGGGCGCTTCGATTGCGTTGCGCAGGGTTCGCAGGCCTCCCACAGGTTTTGATCCGTCCGATTAGGCTTCCCACCACTTTGAAAAATGAGATCAACGGCTTCTGCTTTCAGCTCTGTTCGCTGGCCGTCCCCGATCTTGCAAAATCGTTACGGGGAAAATAGGGCCTGAAATAGGTGCATTCGATACGCAGGGCCGGCTGCCTTCGTCCCGCAAGAGGAAGAAACGGTGGGAACTGGACTTTTTAGCGCAAGGGTCGGCAATCCGTGGCTCTGGAGCCGCATGTGGCTCTTTCATCCCTCTGCTGCGGCTCCCTGTCTCCAGTCGGCTCCACAATTGATAGGGCTTTCGGTTAGGACAGGTAGAGGCAAAAGGACGCCGCGCTAGGAGGAGACTCTATGGTGGGGGAACCGGACTTCCGGTTGGCTCCAGAACTGGGGGGGCCTTCTGGTTAGGATCTTTGTGGTTCTTTGAGTGTTTAAGGTTGCCGACCCCTGTCTTAACGCAGTGAAATCTTCCCGATGTGGCTGAAGCGGTGAAAGGAATGTCTTAAAAGCCGCAATTCACAATCAGGAGCAAAGCAACGCTAGTTCTGGCAGCCTTAGGAATGTAGGTTTGCGGAGGCAGAATCACTTGGATGTCCAGGAAGATTTAAGGGGCATTTTGCTCCTTGCTGTCATTTTTTGTGAATCCGCCGTCGGGCTAGTGTCTCTCTCCTCTCTGTCGCTCTTCATGGGAAACGGTGCCCAGAGCTGCTAAGCAGGCACTTGCTGACAGTTGGTCATTCTGAAGATTCAGGCTGTTCTCTTGGGCTGTCAGTTCGAAAAACTAGGGGGGAGGAAGGCATAAAGGCTTCTGGGTGCCCCACCAGGGCTCGGACGGATGGCATACTGGGCCCACCTCTTAGGGCTTAAGTGGGAAAGATAACAGGGGCTGGATGGGGGTTGGGGGTACATAGGCAGAAGCTTGGGAAAGGCCTGGGGTCTCCGGAATAAAAACCCAACCGAAGTGTCATTCTAATTTGCTTCGTTTTGTTAGTAGATATATATCTTGCCTAGCTCAAGCGACTCCGGGCAACTAACTTCCAAACAAAACTCCTAAAATAAGAAATTGCACAATAGTAAAGCTATAAAAAGGGATGGCGGTGGCTCAGTGGCTAAGACGCTGAGCTTGTCAATCTAAAGGTTGGCAGTTCAGCGGTTCGAATCCCTAGTGCCGCCGCGTAACGGGGTGAGCTCCCGTTCCTTGTCCCAGCTTCTGCCAACCTAGCAGTTCGAAAGCACGTAAAAAATGCAAGTAGAAAAATAGGGACCACCTTTGCTGGGAAGGGAACAGCGTTCCGTGCACCTTTGGCGTTGAGTCCTGCCGGCCACATGACCACGGAGTCATCTTCGGACAGCGCTGGCTCTTCGGCTTTGAAACGGAGATGAGCACCGCCCTCTAGAGTCGGGAACGAGTAGCACTAGAATGACTTTTACCTTTAATACTATAAAAGTAAAAAAAAAAATGTGTGAAGGTTACATATGAGGGTTAGAGACCATTCACGTTGCGGATCTTAATCTCCAAGTCCTACCTTAAAAGAGGGAGGTGTTTGTTGTTTTGTGAAAAGATAAGATTTGTGTTTTTCCCACAAATAGGGGAACAGAATTGTGTCTTGGGCACAGGGGATAAATTAGTGGCAGGAAAGAGAGAAAGGGCATCATTGAGACAGCACCCAGACACAGCTTTATAAAGAGGTGACTCCTTCTTTTTATCAAACATATACAGGTTGTCCTCGATTTACAACCGCAACCAAGTCCAAAATTTCTGCCGCTAAGTTAGTTTGCCCCGTTTTTAGTCTGCCGCGAAGTGAGTTTGCCCCGTGGCCCCTTTCTTTCCACAGTCGTTAAGTGAGTCACATGGTTGTTTAGTGAGTCTGGCTTCCCCACTGACTTTGTTGTAACTTCGAACGGTCACTAAATGAACTGTTGTAAGTCGAGGACTACCTGGACACACCAAAGTAGACATTCCATGTCCATATATCTCTCGCTCCGCTAGGAAATGTACTGACGGCCTTAGCAAGTCCTTATTCTTGAGAGTCAAACAGCTGAATGAGAAAAAGGCACAAATGCATTTGCAAATGGGCTCCCTTCCCCCCCCAAAAATCAGTGAGGTTGGGCGCAGGAAACAGGGCCAGAGGTTTTGAACTCGCTTCAAATGAACCTTTGAAATTGTTGTTGTTGTTTTTTTTTTGCTTTTTAATTTATATGCCGCCCTTCTCCGGAGACTCAGGGCGGCTTACAATACGCTAAGCAATAGCCTTCATACTTTTGTATATTTATACAAAGTCAGCTTATTGCCCCCACAATCTGGGTCCTCATTTCACCTACCTTTGAAAGGATGGAAGGCTGAGTCGACCTTGAGCCTGGGGAGATTTGAACTTACAGTAATTGCAAGCAGCAGATGTTGGTAATAGTGCTTAGTCCGCTGTACTAAAGGCTCTTCTTTTTTTTCTGCCACCTTTTCTGAACAAACTGGAAAAGTGTTTGAGTTATCCAAAGCAGTTTCCCACCCCCCCATACAAATATCTACTGTATTTGCTGTGTTTATTTTATATGGATGGGATGGGATGGGATGGGATGGGATGGGATGGGATGGGATGGGATGGGATGGGATGGGATAGGATAGGATTTTTTATTGGACAAGGAATTTGTCTTTGATGCATATGCTCTCAGTGTACATAAAGAAAAAATAAAATATATTCATCAAGAATCATAAGATATAACACTTAATGATGGTCATAGGATACTAATAAGCTATCAAATCATACTAGGACTCAATAAAAACCAATATAAGTTGTAAAGATATATGTATGTATGTATTTCTCCTCAGCTGGGTATTTTCCTACGTAAACCAAAATTTTAAAATGCAGCCATAGCTCAGTGAAATCACATCCTGAATGAAATCATGAGCTATGCATTTTAAAAACTTGGTTTACGTAGGAAAATAGCCAGCTGAGGAGGACATTTCACTTCTCATCCAAAAAGTTTCTTCACCTCTGACTGGATGGTGGAGAATTAATGGAAGGGTTGATATTCCTTGCAGACAGCTGGTCGTTTGCATCCTTTTTAGAGGGTCCTTGAAGCACTTGGATGTTGGGACCCTGAGATAAACCTCCAAGTGGCCTCAACAACCCTCTAAAACAGTGTTTCCCAAACTTGACCCTTTGAAGATGTATGGACTTCAACTCCCAGAATTCCTCAACCAGGCATACTGGTTGGAGAATTCTGGGAATTGAAGTCCATGCATCTTAAAATAGCCAAGTTTGGGAAACACTGCTCTAAAAGGATGCCAAGGACCCACTGTCTGCAAGGAGTATCAATCCTTCCATTCCCCACCATTCAAGTCAGAACTGAAGAAGCTTCTTGGATGAGAAGCGAAATGTCTTCAAAGAAAAACAAAAGTGGCCTCTTGGGGAAAAAATAGCACTTTTGGGACAACCGTGGCTGAGAATCTCCACAGATGTACACTTAGAAGATTCTAGAAGCTTATTATAAGTGTTTATTATACATTTCTATGTACAGGTTGTGTCCTCGTTTTGAGCCTGCTGCCTTGAAAAAGGTCATTTATCCATGGGTGGGATAGAACAATTAATAAACCTCTGCTAATATTCATTTTATTTCTCTCTCTTTGTGTCTCTTTTCCCTGCTCCTTCCTCCAGCTGAAAGAAGTATATGCACTGACACAACCTCAGGAAACCCCAAGATGGCTGCCAAGCGCAAAGGTGGCCTGAAATTAAATGCAATTTGTGCCAAGCTCAGCCGCCAGGTAGTCGTTGAGCACAAAGCACCCGAACAGGGACATGTCGACAAAGCTCCCCTTGGGTGGGAAAGTCCTGGCGGTGACACAGCCGCCCCCAAGGACACCCCCCAGGTTGTGGCCAAGGAGCCGGGGCCCAAATTTTCGGAGGGGAAGAAGATCGAAGAGGACAAGCGGAGGGAAGTGATCGAGAAGTGGGTCAACGGCGAGTACAGCGAAGACCCCTTGCTGGGGCGCATCGAGAACAAGGAACCCAAGGTCCCCGAGGGGACGGAAGTGCCCCCTGAGGGGGTCTACATGGTACAACCAAAAGGTTGCAGCGATGATGAGGATAACGGGGACGAAGCCGAGCCCCCCAAGGACTCCCAAGATGGCAGCTTCGCGGACGACCGAGATTCAGATGGGCCTCCCCTGAAGGACGAAAGCTTTCGGGCCTCCAACAATGAAGCCAGCTCCAAGCTTAGTGGAGGAGCTTCTTCAGGTGAGATGGCCACGCATGGTGGCCCGGATGTCTTAGTTTGGGCACATCGGAACCCGCCTTTCCAGAGAATAGAATGGAATAGTGTTAGTTGCATGCTTTTAGATCTAGAATGGGAAGATTTGAGGATATTTTCTTGTCTACCGTTCCTGATTTGCATGACGGATGATGTGGGCCGACCTCATCCAAATAGCTTGTAGCCCCTTCAGGCAGTTCAGTGTCTTCTCAGTAAACAGTAAGACCCCCACCCAACCTTGAATTCCACACAACCCCCCACCCTCATCGTAACCCAGGCAAAACCCCCCCTTTAAACAAATGCAATTGGACGTATTATATTTAAAATGGGATTACGAACGTGAGTAAAACATCGCAGTGCCATTAGAACAGTCAATGCTACCTTGTGCATATATAATAAATGAGGACAATTCCGATATATTATTTAAAAGGTCCAAACTTTTAAATACATATTATTCGGAATTATTTAAAACGCTTAATAGCAACCACTAAACTAAGGATAATGGGACCGTAATAGGGCGAATACGAGTACAAAATGGGGAATTAAAATAAACTGAATCAATAATACATGGATTTGCAGTCTAATCCCAATCCCCAAATAGAAAGTGCCTGCTTTTCCTTTTGTTGCAATCTTCATGTATGTGCCCACCTGTTTTCTCTCGACGCTTTTGGGTGCTGCAGCCATCGCAGAGTTTGTCTCTCTTGTTTTTAAGGTGAGAAGAAGAAAAACAGTAATGATATGGTCTGGTGAGCCAAGCCAGATTAGCCTGTGAGATGCCTTTTTGTCTAGTAGGATTTGGCTGCCTTAGACACGATCATGTCCAATACATAAAGACAGGATGTAAGGAAAGTTAAAATAATAATACCTGTGTTTCCCCGAAATTAAGACCTTATATTATTTTTTTGCTCCAAAAGTTGCATTAGGGCTTATTTTCTGGTTAGGTCTTATTTTGGGGGGAAATACGGTACTAATTGCATCCATCTGGCTGATGATCTTAAGTGGGGCTTATTTTGGGGGGTAGGGCTTATATTATGAGCATCCTGAAAAATCATGCTAGGACTTATTTTCTGGTTTGGTCTTATTTGAGGGGAAATATGGTACTAAATGCACCCATCTGGCTGACAATCTTAACTGGGGCTTATTTTGGGGTTAGAGCTTATATTACGAGCACCATGAAAAATCATGCTAGGTTTTATTTTCAGGGAAACAGAGTAATAATAATATCAAACAGCAGCAACTCCTATTCCTTAGTCTTCTTTTCTCCTTTTTTTTCACTGTTTGTTTTCTTAAGTCGCACGATTCTTTCAGCAATCCTTCCTTTAACTCTTTCAACCTGGATCGGTTTGCTTGGGAAAAAAAAGAAAAAAGTTGCTCATTCAACTCTTCCCCACGCAATGAAGTTTTCCTTCATTTCCTGTAGGTGCAGGGGTGAAATGCTCCCGGTTCAGACCGGATCACCCGATCCGGTAGCGATGGCGGGTGGTTCAGAGAACCGGTAGCAAAAATCCCTGCACGCCCCCGCCCCCCACCATGCCCAGCTGAGCCGCACAATCATCAGAGGCTTTTTATTTTATTTTTAAAAGCATTTTTTCTACAACCTCTTCTATTAAAAAAATGCTTTTAAAAGTAAAAAAAAAAGCCTCTGATGATCGCGCGGCTCAGCTGGGATCGTCAGAGGCTTTTCAGAGCATTTTTTGTCTGCAACCTCTTGGCCGAAGAGTTGGTAAAAAAAATGCTTTGAAAAGTCTCTGACGATCCCAGCTGAGTTGCCTGATCGTCTCTGACGATCCCAGCTGAGTTGCCTGATCATCTCTGACGATCCCAGCTGAGTTGCCTGATCGTCTCTGACGATCCCAGCTGAGTTGCCTGATCGGCAGAGAGGTATTTTTTAAAAAGTCTCTCTGACGATCCCAGCTGAGTTCCCTGATCGCAAGAGAAGCTTTTCAAACCATTAGAAAAAATGCTTTGAAAAGTTTTTTTTAAAAAAAAGTTGGCCACACCCACCCAGCCACATAACCCCCCCCCACCAAGCCACGCCCACAGAACCGGTAGTAACAAATTTTACATTTCACCCCTGCGTAGCTGGCACGGTGGCCTCACGTTCAAAATCCTCCGGCTTTGAATTAAAACTGCCTTCCTCATTTGGAGTCTGTATAATCTAAGATAGATTATATTCTTAAACCTGGAGGAGCCATTCGGTGGGTGAGTTTGGATATAAAGCGCTAATTGAACCGGTAAACGTCCATTAAATGTAGCTGCACAGCATTGCAAAGAAGGGGGGGTGGGGAGGCAAAAAAGAGAGACGTTCGAACACTCCTTTTTAATATGTAAAGTTCAGCGTAGGAATTTCCCATTTCTCCCATTGAGGAGCCCTACCAGAGATCTGAGGGTTTTTTTGCAGTTAGTTTCCGAATACAGATTGTTTTTCACTTCTGGCCACAATTGAGCCCCCCCAAATTTCCGTTGTTAAGTGAGACGTCGGTTAAGTGGAATTTTGGCCCCATTTTAACGACCTTCCTTGCTTCCGTCTTTAAGCGAGTCGCCATGGTGGACAAGTTAGCAACCCGGTTGTTAAGTGAATCTGGCTTCCCCTTTTTGACTTTGCTTTGTCAATGAAGGACGGCAAAGGGGATCTCGCGTGACGTTGAGAGACGACAACGGTCATAAATATGAATCAGTTTGCCCAAGCGTCTGAATTTCCACTGAAGTGGTCATGGAGATGCTGGAAAGGTTGTAACCATGGAAAAACGGTCATTCGGTCACTTTTTTCAATGCCGTTATAACTTTGAAAGGTCAAAACTCGAATAGAAAAGAAAATTACAATAAAAACAATTTAAAAAGAATAATAACTTTGAAAGGTCACTAAATAAACTCTTGTAAGTCGAGAACCACTTGTAGTCTAGCAATAGCAATAGCACTTAGACTTAAATACCACTTCATAGTGCTTCACAGCCCTCTCTAAGCGGTTTACAGAGTCAGCCTTTTGCCCCCAACAATCTGGGTCCTCATTTTACGCACCTCGGAAGGATGGGAGGCTGAGTCAACCTTGAGCCAGTCGGTCAGGATCGAACTGGTGGCAGTGGGCAGAGGTAGCCTGCAATACAGCATTCTAACCACTGGGAAGGAAAGGAAGGAAGGAAGGAAGGAAGGAAGGAAGGAAGGAAGGAAGGAAGGAAGGAAGGAAGGAAGATAGCAATAGCAGTTAGACTTATATACCGCTTCACAGTGCTTTTACCGCCCTCTCTAAGCGGTTTACAGAGTCAGCCTGTTGCCCCCAACAATCTGGGTCCTCATTTTACCCACCTCGGAAGGATGGAAGGATGAGTCGACCTTGAGCCTGGTGAGATTCGATCTGCCAAACTGTTGGCAGCCGGTGATCAGCAGAAGTAGCCTGCAGTACTGCACTCTAACCACTGCGCCACCGCGGCTCATACACAGTGTCTAACACAGTGGTCCCCAACCTTTCCATCTTGGCAGCCCAACTCAGCGCCGGAGGGTGTGTGTGAGTGGCAGGAGCGAGCGTGCGCAGCTGCACCCACCGCTCGCACCAATGGAGCTTCGAGCGTGAGCGGAGGGTGCTTGCACTCATGCGTGAAGCTCCACTCGTGCGAGTGGCGGGCACTTGTGCTCACACGCGAAGTTCCACTCACATGAGCGCCCTCCCTCCAAAGTGGAGCTTTGGCTGTGAGTGCAAGGCTCACCGTTCGCGCGAGTGGAGCTTCGCACCCGTGTGCTTGCCCATGGCTCGTGCAGCCCAGTTTCAAACAGGCCGTGGCCCAATGCCAGGCTTCGGCTCGGGGCTTGGGGGACCCCTGATTTAACAGAGCCCAGGTAAAAGAGAGAATTACAAGCAGAGTTTTGTTTTGTTTTGTAAAGGTAAAGGTTCCCCTCGCACATATGTGCCAGTCGTTCCCGACTCTAGGGGACGATGCTCATCTCCGTTTCAAAGCCGAAGAGCCAGCGCTGTCCGAAGACGTCTCCGTGGTCATGTGGCCGGCGTGACTCAACGCCAAAGGCGCACGGAACGCTGTTCCCTTCCCATCAAAGGTGGTCCCTATTTTTCTACTTGCATTTTTTTGTTTACGTGCTTTCGAACTGCTAGGTTGGCAGAAGCTGGGACAAGTCACGGGAGCTCACCCCGTTACGCGGCGCTTGGGATTCGAACCGCTGAACTGCCGACCTTTCGATCGACAAGCTCAGCGTCTTAGTCATGGAGCCACCCCGTCCCTCTTTTGCCAAACCCAGAGCCAAATTCAATATATTGTGAGGGCCAGCGAGCGGGGAACTTTAAACTCTTAATTCTTTAGGAATTTAAAAAGGATTTGGGATGCCAGTGTGTGTATGAGTATTGGCGCTTATCTGTAATGTGCCCACCAAATCTGAGGTTTCACTCCTATTGCACTACGGGCGGGCTGGGCACAAGGAGCTCCAGAAAATTATTACAAAGGAAAAGGATTAAAAAAAAAAAAAAAGGAGGGGGTGGGAGAAGCAGCCGCAGAGTGCATAGCAATTTACCGTCGCGTTTCCAGAGGTCTCTCGCCCCACCCTCCAAGCAGGAGGGCATCTTCAAATGAAGTCTTAACTCCTCTTCAGGTTTAATAACTTTGCTCGACACTTCACCCTTTCTCCCCGCATCTCTGACAAGCTTCCCCGGATCTCGTCTCACCGATGATCCGTCAAAAAATTCTCCCTTTTGTGCACCGGGAGCTGGAGAGGGAGAGGGAGGGGCTGGTGTGTGTGTGGGGGGGGTGTCCAAGTTTCCCCCCTCCCTCCCTCCCTCCTCGCGCTCCCGTTTAATAACGGCAGCGGAGAACTCATCTCCCTTCATCTGTCCCTTCCCTCTTCTCCAGCCTTCGCGAGTTCACTGGCAACGCTCATAATTATGCATATAAGATATAAACAGAGCTGTTTAATTATCCTTCGCCACATCAGTGACAGAGTAATTAACAAACATTGCAAGATCAATGAGGAGAACGCTGACCTTCAG